ATAGCAGAGTGAATACGTTTTGCAACCCTTAACAATGAGCTGTTTAACCACTGCCAGCCTGCAAACACAGCTGAAGGCAGAATTTGGACCTCTCTGGTATATCTTCATTATCTCACCTCCAGCAGTCACTGAGAGCAAAAAAGTCACAAACAAGTTTATGCTGGTAGCAGGGTCTTCAGTGAAAACCACTGAGACATCAAAGTCAAGTTCAAAGAAAAGAGGCAAACAAAGGGAACAAGTGCATTTGGTCAGGAAGCATGACTTCCTTTTGAATTAAGACATTAGACTGGAGATTGAAGGATGTGACCATGGTCTTTCCTTGGCCACCCAGGCAGAACTCCACCATTGCTCCTGAGAAATGTCTGCTCTCATTGACTCCACCCGTGCTAGGAAACAAGGACACAGCCAAAATGCAAACCCGTGCCTCAAAACCATTCTTTCCTGAACTGAAATGTTTTTAACGTGCTCATTAAACAGAAAACAAATCAACAACAACAACAAAAAAAAAACCTGCCAAAAAACTCAAAACAAAAAATTACCAAAACAAAACAAAAACCAAAACCCCAACATGTTTTAAGTAGATTTCTAGGAACAAACCTTTTGTTTTGTGCTTTGCCATTACCCTGCCTCAGATCAGGAATGGGGTAGAAATACAATTAACTGTGGCAGGAGTAAGAGGAGGTTATGATTATGATGTTCCCATCACAACGCTGCAGAAACATCCTCTGCCTATGTGCCTGCCTGTGTGGGCTTGAAGGAGGGGTGATTGTCATTGACTTAGCTGGCTCAGGTAGGGATCAAGATTACAAATACAGAGAAAAAAAAAACCTGGCTTTTTTGAAGGATCACTCTACGCTATGGAGTATTCAATGCTGTGCTTGCTCTCTGCTTTACCTTCAGCAGATTTATTTTGGCTCCTAACTACAAAGTCTGGCTCTTTCATTCAAACTCTAATATTTTTTTCCCAAACCAATTCAAACTCTGGCCCTTTTTCTGTTTAGGCTTACAGCTGTCACATGGGTCAGACCTGTGGGAGTTGAAGCCCCAGGATTCCCTGCATAGAAGGTTGAAGAATGACAGGGAATTGGCTGGGAAACACCTCACACTCAGGTACTTTTCTTTTGTTTTTGCCCTGGCTCCTTTGCCTCTTCATTTTTAATTAGTGGCACATACTGAAATGATAATTTAAATTCTTTTCAGAAATCAAAAGAATTCCCACTGACAACATTATTAAGTTATAATTACAGAGGATAAAAAGGCTAATAGGAATTTGAGCCAAATATTTAATCTCCATTAAATGAGAACTTGACTTAACCTGCTTTCCTTTCATTTTGGTAGGTTACTCTAGGTTTGAATGTGTCCAGGATGGCCACACACCTGCGCAGAGGGCCACTGCTAGGACGGGTAGCTGTCACCAAGCCCATTTACACAGACCTGCCTCAGGACAGCTCTTGCCTGACCAGCTCAAGATGGAATTTGCCAGAAAGGTGGGAGTCCTCTTGGGCCCCTGAAAGATGTGTACTTCAGACAGTGAGAAGAGCAGGGTCACACAGGGACGTTTGTGTGAGAAAGGTGTTTAGGAGGTGGCACTTTGCTGCAAGGGAAATGCAGCCACTATTGGTGGAGGGAAATAGTCAGCTTCCTGGGCCTATCATCCAAAGAAAGCCTTTTCTTTCACATATGCTGGGCACCACATGCATGCAGAAACAAATGCAAACTGGCCTGAATCTACTGAGTGTTTTGTATTTTCAATGAAAAAATAAATGGGGAAAAGAAACATTTTCCTCCACATTAGCTCTCATTTTCTTCCACATTAGGTCTAAGTGTGCCCATCAAGAAGACAATTATTGTAATAGTTATACATGTTTAGAATGGATTTCAAAGCAAGTGAGGGTTTAGGGGAAAAAAAGCCCACTCCTTTTTCTGGGCACCTACAGGCTGAGCTTCCATGGCTCCCAGCACTGGGATAAAGCCTGTTTAAACTGAAGCAAGATCTGCACAGTTACTGTTGCCGTACAAGGCAGGAGTTTTGCCTTGAAGTCCTGTTGTAAGCTTGGCCTTCCTTTTTCCCTTTTTTTCTCTTTAAAAGCTTAACACATTGCCTAAGCTGTGTGGCATGCCTCAAGGCAGGCCTTTCCCTCTTCCCAAGTCGCACCGAGCCCTGCAGGCTCTCGCATCTTGCACAAGCGGTTTGAGGCGTGAGCCCGGCAGCCCTGGCACAGGCAGGGGCTCCCCCAGACTTCCCCTTCTCCCTAATCCCTGCCTGGCCCCGGGCTCCTGCCTGTGGTAACCGCTGAGAAACGGCCTCGGGGCTCTCTCTGGCCCCCAGCGCTGGGTTGAGAGCCCGAACCGCACAGGGATGGATGGATGCGAGAGCCCAGACCGCGCAGGGATGGATGGATAGATGTGAGAGCCCAAACCGCACAGGGATGGATGGATGGATGGATGGATGGATGGATGGATGGATGGATGGATGGATGGATGGATGGATGGATGGAGAGCCCAAACCGCACAGGGATGGATGGATGGATGGATGGATGGATGGATGGATGGATGGATGGATGCGAGAGCCCAAACCGCACAGGGATGGATGGATGTGAGAGCCTGAACCGCACAGGGATGGATGGATGCGAGAGCCCGAACCGCACAGGGAGGGATGGATGGATGTGAGAGCCCAGACCGCACAGGGATGGATGGATGGATGTGAGAGCCCAAACTGCACAGGGAGGGATGGATGCGAGAGCCCAGACCGCACAGGGAGGGATGGATGCGAAGCACACAGAACAACTGGGAGGGGGCTGCTGCAAGCACTGGTCCCTTCTCACGCTGAAAGCCCAAAGCACACGAGCAGAGACCTGTGCAGAGGGTGGAAAAAGCCTTTTTGCTCCTCGTTTTCTGTGGACTGCGTGGTTTGAAGGCCAGCACCTTTGGAGCTCAGCACACACATGGCTACTCTTTCATCCTGGAGCTGAAGTCTGCTCTCATGAATATCAGTATGTCTTTGAAGCACTTTCATCAACTTACATTTCTGCAATTTATTTTCAAGCTACTCAGTAAAATGTGGGATTTTTCTCTGACAGGATGCCTTTTATTTGTTTGTTTGTTTTGTCAGGAATTGCTTTTATCTCTAGCCTTCCGAGGGCTGAAAGACCCTCAGGATGTCAGCTGCGTGAGGCTCTTGCTGGTCTGTCCAATTATTTGCTGTGAAGCACAATGCACCAGGGTTTCAAAGTATACTCTTACCTCTGTTTTCTTAAGACAAGCATGAAAAAAGCCTGTTCTACAGTTACAAGAACTCCAGAATATTTTTCTCTTATTCAATTGGTTTCTGACCTGATTGTCCTTAGATGAAAAAATAAATTAGCCAGCATTGTGGGATAAGGGCAGTTTTGCACAAAAGGTGCAGTGAGTCTCCCACTGACTGAAGCTGACCTGGACTTTGGTGTCAATAGAGATGTGCCCTGAGACCACAACAGGCTCAGTACTCACTGTTTTGTGCTGTGTTCCTTCCACTTCCTTAACAATCAATGAGAAACGAGGATTTTGAGGCTATGATGTGCAAAATTCTATTCCTTGCTTATCTAAGTGTGCTGGGAAAAACCTTCTTGGTTTGATTGTTGCTGTTAACACAACCGCCAAAAAACTGAAGACAAACAAGATTAGGAGGCCATGCAGGTTTAAGTAAAAAAGGAACACACTTTATTTATCTACAAGGCAGTACATTGTTGTATAAAAAAATAAGTGCAGATAAAGCTGCACCAAATGCTATTAAGGCAGCAAAGTCAGAGGCTGTTATAAAAACACAAAAAAATAAAAAAATAAAATAAAATCAGTGTTTTGCCATATCAATAAAGATTTGATATGGCAGTACAAAGAACCATGTATTTCTAAGAACCTGATTCAGTACACAAGACCCAAGTTAGGGAACAACTAGCTAGACATGGAACAAAAGAGACAACATGAACAAGACAGTGTTCTCCCAAACATATGAAGGTGCAATGCATGCTGTTACAAACCAATGAGAAACAAAACAACACATCCACACAAATAAAAATCTCCCAAGAACAGTGTTCAAAAATATTGCTTATAAAAAAAAGGGGAAAAAATATAAATGATGTAAAAAAAAAATTAAAACAAAAAGGTCTGAAATGCTAGTGCATAGTCAATTAGCTAACATTAACATTTGTTTTTTTCCATATAAAGCTCTACTGCTCCTTTTACACTAGCAGCATGTCTACACGCTAAGGTCTGTAGCAGCAAAACACAGTATTCATTTGGCATTTACAAAATTAAATTACTGAATAAAAATATAATTTTTCTCATAAATCTATGTTTCATACAGTAATATTTTTTAAAGCAAGCTAATTACCCACCCCCCGCCCCCCCAACAGAAACACACAATGTATAATGGCCTAGAACCAAAACAGAAAGGAGTATTTCAAGAGGCATGGATGTTTGAGCATTCATGATCTTGATCAGCTTTCCCCTTTTGCACAGACAAGCGTTTGTAGTAATGCTTTTCACTTCGGTATTTTACACCAATTCATTTTGTTCAGTGATTTAAAATATATCTGAGTACCTGCTCTTTTATTATTACAAAACAAAATAAAAAATAAAAAAAGAAACAAACTAAACCCCACCCCTGACTAGCACATCACTGAAATAACAATACTGGTGTATTAAGTCTGTTTGATCTCAAAAAGTACGAGAAAAATTATCTTTATTATAAGACTGCACTTAAGATCATTAATTACTGATTCAAACTCAATACCTAATAATTTAGGCAAGTATCATTAAAAACACACAAACTCTTAAGTTGGGTGAAATCCAACAAGAATATATATGCTGAGTGACTAAATGCACTTTGTGCTGCTCCCAACTGTTGTACCACAACAAAGATAGGCTCTTCTCCCATTCATGAAAAGTTCTCATGCAGAGGAACAGGAATTTCCCAGTGGAGGTGAAGTGTTCTCAAACCATAATGCTTCTCTGTGCGTCGACCCTTTCACATCACCAGAGTCCGGGTGGGGAAGGTGGCCATGTATTTGCGTGCCTGATCTGGCAGAGCCATCTGATCCTCGATCTTCCCGCAGGACGCCGACTCCCAGGTGTTGTTCAGATGCTAAATCAGAAGAAAGAGAGATTTAGTTTGAATGCTGTGTGGTTTATCCGTAGTCCCAGCCAAAGCTGGGCCCTCTCACTATTAACTGTTCCATGAACAGGCAGTGGGATGCTGTCCTGTCCCCTGAGAAATGAAATCTCAACACAACAGGCAAAAAATGTCACCCTGACTTCTCAGTTAGCGACCATAGGGGCAGACAGACCAGATGATCTGCAGAGGGGACACCACAGGAGATCCAGACTTTCCTGCTTCTCTCTCAGAGTGTCTTTTCTATAAGGCCATAGCTACAGCCTTGCCTTTAATCCTTTAGGAAGGTCTAAACAAGAATACACTTGGCAGGCCAACTTTACAGTGAACAGAGCACAGACAGGCTACAGCACAGTTAAAATATCCAATGTTATGGCCATGCACAAATTCCTGCTGAACCTATATTCTAAAAATGCTCTGTCCTGGAGCTCCCTAAAGAACCTGACAACCTCGACAGCCTGCCCAGCGGTGCCGAGGATTCCCCGCTCAAAGCTGCTTTCACCTGTGGGCAGCGATCAGCACCCGCCCCATAGCTCAGCTCCCCTGGCAAAGGAGGAGGGAGGGAGGCCCAACTCTCAGCAGAAACAGCTTTTTAATTATCATGTAAGCCATTTCACTTCTTGTGGTATTTATGGAGGTTGCAGACACCATTTAGTATAATGTTAAAATGAGATAAACCTATCTGCAGAGGGCTGTGTGTGCTGTATTTATTTACTCACTACACATGTGAGACATTTCTCATTGCCTTGAGCTATAACCAGCAATGAAATTTCAAAGCTCCTGGAATTTACCAGGATACAGACTTTTACTTTTTTCTATTGAACTCTCTCACTTAGCCAGTGTGTCTGCCTTTCCACACTGAAACTTTCTCTAAGACCTGAATAAAACATCTATTATCACACAGTTATCTGTACAAATAGTCTGCATTCCAAAAATGCACACAATTGTGCTTATCTTTCCACAAGGGATCCCAGCACTGCTAAATACTGAGAAGGTGTATGCTCAAGATCCACCAGTAAAGACAAGTCAGGAGAAACCTTTCTCAGTTCTCCATGCCATTTGAAAAGGATCTGCAGCACAATAACTACATTGCTCAAAGAGATGTCCAAAGCCTTCCCAACCACTAGGACAGTGGATGAATCATAATTAGTGGACTGCAAACCATCTGCTAAGAGCAGAACTGCCCTGACGTGCCCACAGCTCTTTCTGCCAACTTCTAGTTGCTGACTTCACTTCTAGTTGCTAATTTTTTGCAAGAGGATCCTTAAAGTATTCTCTGGCCTAAAAGTTTACAGAATGCTCTTCTGACTGTAAACAGTGTTATCTGAGACATATGGATAGTAAAAGGCTGGGCAACTATGAAACACAGATAATTTCAAGCAACATGCCCTAATCAGGGCACCAGTACAAACGCAGGGACCGAGGTTCCTGCCTTGGAGGGCTTACAGTCTAAAAGGGACAAACCCAGTGACTAACTAAGCAATTGTGTTAGTCCTCTGCAAACTTCTGCTGGGCTTCCCTAGACATGGCTTTCTCTTCTCTGCAGGGAAGCTCCAAATGCTGCCTCTTCTCCTGGATGCCACTTTGCAAGCAAAACTGCTGAACTTCAGTAGGAGTTCCCTTTCTGAAGGAGAACCAGGTCAGGCCTCAAATCATTAAGTTTCTGCAGTTTTTGTGGGAAAGCTGCATCTGTGAAGGGAACAGACATGCCACACACCTCTTTTCTAGAGCTGTGCACCTTGTGCTGTGGCTCAGGCGAGGGCACATGCCAGAAAGCAGGTGTGACACAATTTCTGTGTGCCACAGACCCGCATGCAACACACCACAGCTCCTTTTATGTTTTGGTTAAACAACTTCCAGCGTCACTTTGTCAAAGGCACCTACAACTCCCTATTGATCCTCAGTGGGACTCAGGCACCTGTACGTATTTTCTCCTTCTGTTTTAGAGGTATTTGCAAGAGGAACCAAATTAATGCCTGGTATAAAGCCACTGGTTTTATTTAGAAGTTGGATTTGTTCTGTACACCTCAAAAGCAGCTGATAGCTCCAATATATCCATAATTTCCAAGGACAGAAATATGTGTCTAAACAGTATTTCCCTGTGATCCCCCAAACCTTCAATGCACCAGTCTAGAAATAAGAGATCAGCAGTCCCTTAAATAACTGAAAATATGTAAGGAGAAGTCCATTTGTCATAGCATGACAATTTCTGAAAACTATAAGTAACTTCAGGTAAGGAGCGTCCCTATTTCATAAATTAGGCTTAATTGTTAGTATCTACACTGAGCTCTTTGTATTAACAGCCATGTGCTTAGTAGGAAAAAAAAAATATCTGTATCCTGATATCACCAACATCTCAGCAGGCTGCTACATGTCACTCATTCCACGGAAAGCCTGGTCTTCATCTTTACCCTGATGTCAGTGTGGCAGAAGCTGCTCGGGCAGGCAGTAACCCTCTGCCCTCCCACTGGGCTTGCCTGCCCCAGGGAGCACTGGGCAGCAGACACAGGAGAACCAGCTCCACCCCTCACTTGAGCCTGCTTTTAACAACTTCAGCTTTGCTGTAGGGACACAAAAGTCTTCACCCATGTATTATTTTTCCCAGTAAATTACACTATTTACACTTCCCCCCCCCCCTCCCTATTGTGACAAACTTATAACAAGAGGATAACTTCGCATCTCATTGATGATGGCGAGAGCTCTGCTCCAGTGAAGAAAGAAGCATTGGGCCCAAAGGAGTATGTTTTCTGATGCAGGATATTTACTAACACAGTTTTCCATTCTACCCTTGGGGAGCACAGATAACATTTCAGTGGGTATTTTTAATAAACATTTTCTCTCTGAAGCCCTGGCTCTCGGCAGCCAGCACAAAACAAAGCACAATGCCTGTGCCTTGCCAGCCCTGCAGTGCAGTGCCAGAGGCACGTGTGAAAGTCATCCTGATGGGAGCAGCTTTCCTTCCCTCCTTGGCAGGGAGTGCTGGGTCCTACACTCCTGGCAGAGTGCCTTGCTGGGCCTGGTCACACACAGCTACGGGATCTCTTGGTAAAAAGGGTAAAAAGGGATAAGGGATCCCACAATGCCTCCTTCCACACCAGCACTGCAGCAAGTACTGACAGGCTCTGTTACAGGACAGTGTCCCACTGACAGCAGTGCCCAACAGATGTATCAGATGGAAAGAGACCCAAGGCAGAAGGCTACAGGCATGCAGGAAAACAGCACAGAAACCCTAGCCAGAACACTCCTGTTGCAGAATGCTCACTGCAGCCTCCTGACCACATTTACAGGTCTAACTCTGCAAATCAGTGGATGGAAACAAGACCTTTGTAACCAGAAGCCAGAAGGCCTGACCCATACCTCACCAAAATTGATGGACATGTTTTCATTAATCCAGTGGATTCATCCAGCCTAAATGCAGTCATCTAAGAGTGAGGTGTTCGTTTTGGCACCTAAATTCCTAGCCAGTGGGGAGTGAAAGTGATTTCCAGAGTAAATTCTTTCCACACACACAATTTTTTCATTGCCTCATAGGGTAGGAGGCCAATCTTAATTTTGCTGTCAATTAAAAGAGTTTAAACCTTTTCAGCCAGCACTTCCACTGTATTTTTCTCTTCCAAACACAGCAGTTTCTCTCTTTAAGTTAAATCACAGAGTGGAGAGGGAGAAGAAGGTATAGTACTGTGAGTTCCCATATGATTAAATTACAGATCCATGGTACAATTCCAGCTATGTAATTCTCCCTGTCCCTTTTCTTTCTCTCTCTCTCTCTTTTTTTTTTTTTTTTTTAACCTCAATAATTCTACCAGTACATCTTTCTCCTGGCAGCAAAACTACCTTATTTATCCTGTAATATGCCTTCAGCTGCCCTCAGGCAAATGTGAACTGTAAACAAACTGTCAAAGCTGTAACTGGGATATCCAGTTAAAGCACTTTAAATAAAAACTTGGACCATCTAGAGAAAACAGACCAGAGTAAGGGAAGAAAACAATATGGAAAGGTGCTTTTCTAACAGAACTAGTCCTTCTGCTCTTGTAGCCCAGACTGCCTTTTCATGTTCTGTCTGTATAACTTAAGAAAGCTCCTGTGTTACAACACCTTTTGTGTTAGAAACCAATGCCAAAACCAAACACTGCTGCAGTCCTGCAGTGCTGAGCTCCCAAACTGATGAAAGTCTAGCAGAAATCCTTGGGCAAAGAACTGTGTCAGAAGACAGATTTTACATTTCTGTTCTGCTGGCAGGTAGCTTCAGCAACTCCAGCAAAGCTAGTGGTGTTACAAACACCACCACTAATTTAGCCAAGCTTTGCTGGTATTTACGAATAATTTTTTAAAAAGCTAGTGTATTTAAAATATTTTAAATGCTCAGACTACTAGAAGGTCTCTTATCATGCTTCCCTGCCAGCTTTCCCTTAGATTACATGGTACAGATTGTCTGCAGAATGTGCCACTGAAAAGAAGTCTTGCAACAGAAATGCAGCACTCCTGAAAGAGTAGAACCATGCACTGAACAAAACGATCTTTGAGCAGAATTCAATAGACAGCATATAAATAACATGGCTTTCTATTCTGTAAGGATGCAGAACTGGCAGGACAGTGAAGACTAATTAAAAACTAAAGTGATCATAAATTACTTTTTTATCTCATTTGACAAGACAGACCACTATTTCTACCCCTGCTGCTGGCTCTCCTCTGACTTCTCCTGAACTCTGGGGCTTTCTGAGCTGCTCAGAAATACAGCTTGCTCAATGTGAAAGAATAAGATGGTCCAACTTTTCAGCTTTTTTCCTAAGCATGATACCAGACCTAGAAAGAGCTATTTGATAGCATTTTTAAGAGCTTAACCCTGAACCTTGCTCAGGTAAAACTCCTGCTCACGATCTATGAGCTTCCCAAGTAAGATGAATGGAAGAGATATGGAAGTGGGCTAAACATCTGCAACTCATACTAGGACATTCTTCCCCTCTCCAGTAATTTTTAAAAATTTCCCCCCCCACAGATCAGAATACATTGCTGCAAATGTGACTAATAATTAAGCTGTCACTTTTTTTCCTGAGAGACCATCAGCAGCTCAGGGCAGCTGTAATCTTCCTATCTGTTTGCAAGCCAAATTCTGCTGACCTAGGAGGAAAAATGCAATGACTGGCCTGTAACTTTGAACCTTCTCTGGCTCCCTCAGCTGTGGCAAGCATGTGTCCTTCCTGTGCACATCACTCACTGGGGAGAGAAGGGGCAGCACAAGTGAGAGAAACCTGTGGGGCTACCTTCCCCTGCTGTGCAGACCTCAAACACAGCGTGCTTCCCCCTCTCCCTTGATTAGACAAAGGAAAATATGAGATTTCAGGACCTTCTTCCTCCAAAAAGCCATGGAGGAGAAACAGAGAAAGCCTGCTGTTGCAGAAGACCATGCCGCCTTCCTGGCCACTTTGTCTTACAACCAGCTGCAAATAAAGCAACATTTCACTTTTTTAAACTGAGAAAATTAGGCTTCATGACAGCTCCAACACTTGAAAAAAGGTTAACCAAGTAACTGTTTTAAAATCCTTTAAACTTGCTCTTTGAAGAAAATGGCTACATAAACCGCTGAAAGTCAGGAAATTCGAGCAGAAATGTGTCAGTCTGTGGTTAAAAAAATGGAAAGTGACAGGAGCTAGGTGTTGAAGAACATTCTCTTTAGCTTGCAGGGCTTCTACCTTGTGTTGTTTCCTTTGTTACTGGGGGAAGAAGATATCAAAGCAGTGCTATTTTCTTAAAAGGCTCCATTTCATGGTGTCTTTTGATAGCCTGCAGGGTTAGGTGGAAGGTCTGTGATTTAGCCTACTTTTCTATCTGTTAAAATGTCTATGTTAGGATAGTTTGAATTATGTACTGCTACTGCTACAGAACATAATGTGAAATAAAATTTAACTTTTACATAGGAAGGGCCAGAAACAGGGGGTTTTATGTAACCTCTTACAAGGCAAAATTCAAGCACATGCTCAGTACAGATCATCTTTTTGTCTTGGTATTGGAGTACATTATCCCAAAATCTTAACCCTTGGAAAAGTTGCTAGTGAGACCAAAATCTCCCTGACATGCAGCTAAGTGACAAAAACATAGGGTGCAAAAATACAGGTTTTAACTAACCCCATGAATACAAAGCAGAAATATTTGGGATCCATGAACTGGAGAGTAAGTCCACCTCAAGGCAATGTGGGTTTGGTGAGACATTCCTTTTCCTGCCAGTCTGATAATGCACAACCATGAGATTTGTCACATAGGACAGAAAAGCTGGCTGAACCTCCACATTTTACCAGAGAGATCTTACACAAAACTGCCTTCACATCCAATGTCTTGGGGAGACTTAACAGGGGACTGAATGAGGATAAAGCCCAAACTCTTCTTGGCTCTATGGAGGCTTCTTCTCCCTTTGCTCTATACAACACTGACAGCACCAAACTCCAGTGGTTTTACATGGAGCTACCTGACCTCACATGCCAAATGATGCAACATGCTGTTCCTGCAAAGTGATGGTGAATCACATCGTGCTATCTGATATGGTCATCAGCTGCTATTTACTAAATGGCATATGATCAGTCGTGTACCCAAAACGCAGTAAAAAATATCATTAGAGATGTGTTTGGACATTTGCTGCTCTTGCCTTCTTTGGAATTTAACAGCAGAACAATAAGTAATCAAGGGTTTTGATCAGTTTATCCCTAGCCTAATATCTTTGTGTAAATGTAGTGCAAATTATTAAAGCAATGGAAAACTGTGGGCTGGTAAATATACTGCCTCCCTGTCTTCTAAGTTAAAATTTAAAAGAAAATGGAATTTTAGGAACCAAGCATATTAAAAAAAAACCCCTAAATTTAGTGCTGTCTTTGTTTCTCTCTTCCCTTTCCATGCACAGATCCCAAGGCACAGAGATTGTTGTAATTCTTTCTTGGACTGAAGTCAATGAGAATTTGCCTAAGAACAGTTGGATCAGGCCCAAAATATTAACTGCAGCAATGTCAACATATGCAGACACAATTAAATTTCACCCACATGAGTTCCCTGATGCTTAATGTCTACTTTCATGGGATCAGTGGATTTAGTCCAGTTGTTTGTTTGTGTCCATGCATGTGTTCATGTAGGAGGGTGAGATACCAAACTCTAAACCAGGAAGAGTAGAAAGAATAGGACAACAACGTGCTAAAATCTGGTCATGTACAAAAAGCAGACAGCAAAAACAACAACAAGCACAAAGGCTAACGTTTTCCATGGCTTTGCACCCTTTAGACATGCTATGCCCAAGTCACACGAGGCCATTTCCACTGGGGTGGAGGAGGGGAAGCACCAGGGACAGAGCAGCAGCAGTTTCTGGTGTGAAACACAGCCAGAGTACACATCCTTTCTGAGCTGCACAGGGCCACATTGCTCCCCTCTGACATGAGGCCAGGCAGCTTTACCATTCCTTTTAACCACAACACCCAGTCCAAACCAGAGAGTGCAGCCATTGGCAGACAATACTGCATTGTTATAAAAAGTCTGTATTTCATTCTGAAAAAGCTGTCTGTGCCACCATCACAGAAACCCCAAGCCTCATTCTTCATTTAGATTACATTTCAGCTGAAAAGCTCAATGTTCCACCAGCAGAGAGAACAATTTTACCTTCATACCAGTACACCAAGAAGCTGCCTACTAACTATTCATTTTTGGGCTTTTTACAACTACTTTTTCTTTCAGTTCAACACACTTTAAACACTGAGAGGAGTTGGGAAGTCCTTTTTAACTCAGTTCCTACTTAAGAAAAGGTCCTCTTTATCCAAACAATGAGCACACCTGACTTTTAACATGGTTTTCCTGAGCAAGGACTGAAGAATTGAATCCAGAAAGATCCACAAATTGACTCATGTAAACTTCCTGAACAAAACCAGCATGAGTGAGGACAGAAGGTTAAACAAGCCCTTTCGTTTATAGCAGCTTGTAAAGAAAATATTTTTAGATAGCAGGAAACATAACACCGGTACACCAAAGATCAAAAGATCCTATTTTACAGACCTCTCAGATCCTTCTTTTTTATTACAGCCAGAGTGCAGGCAACTACCACTAACAGGACAACACACAGCCCATGCTGCTTAGCTACCTGAAAATCTTGTCCTAAATCTATGAAGGAGCTCAGAGTTTGGCTCCTGGGACACAACAGGGCTGAGCTCTTTGGGACCAGCAGACTTCTCCTACACACCCACCAGGGAGCTCCAGCAACCTCAGCCAAGCTGGAGACCCAGGCTCCTTTGCCACAAGGTAGGTCTGAATTCAGCCCCTATATAGTGCCCTAGGTCAGGGGCAGTGGATCTGCAAACTCTTCTCCTGGCTGTCTACCACAGTGCAGCCAAGAAACTTCACGAGGGAAGAGCAGATAAACAATATTGAGTGTGAGTCTTTGGCCCCTACAGACGCCCCCATGCCAAGAGGAGTCCTAGTCCCTGCTCTCCAAAGCTGCTTTTCATCAAATGATCCTGCAGCACAAAATACAAGCCTACTCCATGGCAAATTGTGCCAAATGGGGACGTGCGTAAAATTTTACTATCTCCTTTTTTAATGCCTGGCTAGAAATGCCTAATCAAAACCAGACTTTATTCATTTCTTCCTACTGTAAATAAGCCCTAATGTAAATTCTGGAAAGAGGGAGCAAAGAAGGGATTAGCCATGTGGACTATCTGCCTGAAAGTCAGGAACTACGGAGTTACAACTTCCTTCCTGACAGTGACTCACCCTGGGGAATGAGACACTTTCCTTTATTTCTCCCATGTGGAGAAGGGCTACAAAATACTTAGTCATCTACCTTGGAAATACATAAATTATGTTTTGTTTTCTGAATGACTTGCTGTGGGTTTCACCTAAAGAACACAAGAGCTCCCAAGCTGGCTGCTAATGACTTTGGTGGGCTTTGGATCAGCCCCTGTGCAACAGCTCTGCTTTAAAGTACAGCAAATGTCTGTGTCTGTTAACACTTGGCAAAAGCACAGACACATAAACCCCGGCCTCACATCTGACTTACATTACAACAATTACACATTTAGCCTTCACTGGGGAAAGGCCATCCTGGTTCTGGGCTGAATGGGCAATACTGGCCACACCTGTGCCAGCCAGGCAGTGCTAGAGTCTCTCCTCTCACCCCAGGGCCAGTCATAAGTTCTGGCCACCACCACACCACTCAAGTCTCCAAAACAGCAGTGCCACCTACAAGAAGCCTATGGAAAAAAAAAAAAAAAACCTCTAATCCACGTTAATTCTCAATCCTACCAATTCCACACTGCACCCAGCTGAGTTACAACACCCCACACACAGGGCTATGCCTTCATGCTCCACAGGCAAAGTGAGATCCTCAGCCACATTCATCTGAACATTTCATTCTTCCATAGTCAAAACTTAACATCGGTCTGTGAGAAAGCAATATATACATATGTACATATATATATGGATGCATTTTTATATACAGAGGACAATTTTATCAAAGAATAATTACCTGTAGAGGACTAGCTAGTGGCCTGTTTCTAGGTACTGCAACTGTTTTCTGAAAACTATCATCATCTTCAGACACAGGCATCTTTAAAATGGAACTGGTAAGAAGATTCTGAACAGAAAAAGAAAAAAGAAAAAGGTTTTCAGCAACTCCTGAGAACAACCTGAATTGGAACGTATTGTAAGTAAACTCAGGCTGAGTGCAGAAGTTGCTACACTGGGCACAGCCACGGATTTGGAGCAGACCTCAGCCTGGTGTCCCTGGGACTTGGCTTTGCAGGAGCACTGCCCTGTGCAAAGGTCTTCCATCCAGTGAAAATCCCAAGTTCAAGAGTAAAAGTAACACTGAACAGTCCAAAAGCCCTGGCAATGCAAGGAGAACTGTGCTCATGCAAAGTCTCCTTTGCAAAAACCAAGAGAGTCTCTCTCTCTTTCACCAGTTTTTAACTCCTTGATCTAGTAATTTCTGCACACAGGTGCAGGCATCCTACAAGTGCATGCTCTTCAAAGTCTGTGGGCTGCAAAATGACTGCAACTTCTGAAACCTTCTATAGGCATCAGAATGATAACTAAGAGTAGCATTTTACTTTTTTATGCTTAGTACAGGAAAATGACATAGAAATAAGGAATAAAGCCTACTTGTGAAGAAAATCAGAAAAAATATTCTCTTTCTCTTGCATTTAAGAATTGAACAGGGATGTAAAACAAAGAATTCCTTTGATGGTGGGAAAACTTATACTTACTGGCACATCTTCCATAGTAGACCCAGGTGTAAAGAGCTGAGTGTTCAGGTTTTCTCCTTCCCAATGATTTGAGCAAAAAAAATTTCCAGTTTTATCTGTTGGGGACTCCACCTGAAAGCAGAAAAGGCATGATTCGACCACCACATAACTGACCAAGAGATTTCTGTCAGTTGCTTAACAAATTGAACAAATATTCTTCACAGAGGTGCATAATGCATGTTTACAGTAACATCTTTTACAGCAGCCTTGCTCTTTGCAGAACAAAAAAGTTCAAGGTTCTCCAAAAAATCCCCATCTAATAAAACTTTGAATACTTGCACTCAGTGCTCTGTCAGTATTCAGGAGTTTAATCCCCTAGAAAGGATTGAGAATAAATGTATTTTTAGAACTTTAGTGACAAAGTAATATAATGCAATGTCCTCAAATGTTCAGGTTTCTAAGTCACTCCATGGAGCTTGGTCCCCATGGGGTTCTTCTATACTTTTCACCAATATTTGAAAGATTCAATCCAAATTCATGTCTAATTTTTCTTTTCTTTTTAAGTTTCAAACGAAAACTGCATTAGAACGGTCCAAGCAAACCCCTGCTGAAAACAGCAGAAAGACTTCTATGGAAATCAATGGGAGATGAATTAGACATGCCTAGTGTACTATATGGAACCGACACTAAGATCTTGGGGCTCACATGAAAGGAAAACAGACACAGCTATTTAACAGAAAAGGCATTGCTATAAGTTTCTCAGCAAAGAGTTCTGAATTAAATTGCCTCAGGTAAGTTTGAGATTTACCTCTTGTTTGATTTTCTTCAGCAAAGGGGGTCCACTTTCATGTAGCCCAGCCACTATTGCAGATTCCTCCGACTCCTGCTTGATAACATCCTGCAGATCTTCTACAAGATGAGTTGGAGTTTGAGGCTGAAAGAAAGAAACGTTACATCCAAGTCCAGAACATCCCTCTGCACTAATATCAAAGCAACTTTCATCATTGTTTCCTTCTTACCAGCATCTTCAAAGGACCGTATTTGATTTCCTGAGCTGCAAGTGCGTTTTTGAATGGAGTGGGTGTTCTTGGAGAGCTTTCTAATATCGACCTCTTGATTGCTGGAGTCCTGAAACTTTAAAAAGAAGGAGACGAACTTTAAAGGAAGATGCTTGGAAATACTAGCTCTTTATAGAAATGTGTGCATACAGATGGCATTGTTGTAAGACTTTGGGAAATATTTCCCTGTCATCCTATAATCCGTTTTGCTTTTACAGCAGAACATCCATTTGACTGCGATAAGATGTAATGACTTTATTTCAAAAACTGGTGAACCTATATGCATGGTTTTATAACCTACCTCAATAGTCATAAATTGGAAGTTTTACTCCCAACTAAGCAAAATCTGAATGTGTGAGCAAACAAGTCTGCAGGAAGCAGAGAAACACAGAATGGTTTAGGCTGCAACAGTCCTTAAAGATCATCTAGTTCCAAACACACTACCACAGGCAGGTACACCTTCCATGAGATCAAGTTGCCCAGGGCTTCATCCATGGACAGGCCATTCACTACTTCTCTGCCAGCCTGCTCTAGTGCCTCACCACCCTCTCAGTGAAGAATTCTTTCCCTGTATCTAACCTAAACCCACCCTCTTACAGCCTAAAGCATATGCTGACCCAGCACTTTAGTTGCGTGCAAATGTGAAGATGTGGACCCTCGTGAGTTCGACAAGAGACTTACACATGGTTTTCCTTCTGAGTCTTGAAAGCCTGGTCCCTGTGGAACGGGGAGGTAAGTGCCATCTTATGGCCGCACACCGGCGTGGAGGTAAGTGCAGGGTTGTCCAGGTTCAAGTTTTCGTGATTGGACGAGGTGTTTAAGAACTGCACATGTGGAAAGAAAAAATTAACAGGAACATCGAGATTACATGGCTGACCTCTTAAGCTGACGTTATTCAACAAAAGAAAAAGAAATTATTTTCTTCTGACTGACACGAGTCACTCTCCTGGCCCTATGATGCGAGTAGGGCTATGTGGGGTACCTGACTACATTGTGAAAAAATACTCAATGGTTTGGCTCAGGAAGCCAGAGAGGGAAATTCTAATGGAAATGACACTCTGTTCCAATGAGAAAAACTTTCCACCACTTTCAGAGCCTGATTTGGATTTTCTCCAAATAAATTTTAATTAAGACCAGTGTGCCCAAGAAACTGGGTGAAAATGAGCAAGAGATGTTTCAGAAACAAACCCACAGGAAACAGGGTTAAATTCCACAAATATTTATGTGGGGCATCTAGGGGCTTTTAGGGCAGTGCAAGTGTTGATGACAGGAAAATAAATTTCCTATCATCTCTCTCAAAAGAAAGTACTTAACTTTCAGAGTATAAAATGAAAGCTGCCACCTGTGACGGGTACATGGAATACTTTGGAATGGAAACAGCTGACTGAAAAAGAGGCAGCACTATTTGTTTGGAGAAAATTGCTCTTGCATGTGTTCTACCTAGTAACCTAAAATATTGTTTCTATTTCTAGTCTACAAATCCGTGAGCATAGTGGTATCCTTTATTCTGACAACAATTCAATGTACTCCCTTCTAGATTCTGTCACTTTATAAAAATGCGACATGTAAGAAAATCTGGCTTTCACTGGAAAAATGATATATTATTAAAATAGCTAAGAGGTAATGGGAAATACACTGGGAAATCATTACATGAAATCTTTTACTATCCTTCATGAAATAGTCTTTCTTTGACATCAAAGACTAAAGCAAACCAACACAGACAAACAAAAAATCCAAAACACTTTTAAATAGTGCTACAGCTGTGAAACAAAGCAACCATCATTAGGAATTTGAAAGTGCACACCAGGCCATTTTAACAGGCCATTTTCCTCCTCATTCCTATTCCACTCCAACTCACATGGCCTGGGCAGAGGATGGCAAGTGTGATTTGAATTTTCTGGTTGTTGTCAGTTTGTCTCACAACCTGAATGCTATTTAAATGCAGTTTGGGGTTTTCTAGGTCAATGAATCATACTGTAAGTGGACAGAGATGGAAAGTATTACAGATGATCAGAAATGTTAAGCTCTAGTAGCTGGAGTTAGCAGCAAGAGTAATGCAAGGGGTCACACTCCCCTACAAAAAAGATCCAAAAAGGCATAAAACCAAAACACAAAAAACCATGCCCCACAGATAAATTTAAGAGTCAAGAATCAACAGTAAGCTTGCTGATTAACTAAACTCAGCAGTGAGGACTAGGAGCAGTGAGAAGATTCATACACTGAGCGAAATCAACAAGCACAACGGTAATTAGTCATTTGTTCCAAAGGATTAGTTTCTAAATTGTTAAGACTGGGGTGACTTTTGAGAATTAGTAACATCTGTGCAGAAGTCTCGATCTACCTGCGAGGGAGAGAAGGGCAGGCTTTTGACAGGGGAGCGCTTAGGAGGAGTTGAGCTGCTGACGTCAGCTAGGACCAAGGTGCTACCGTGGCCACTGGCTACGGGGCCGCAGTGCCCTCTCCTTTTGCGAGGAAGGACCCGCGGAGCCGCACTGCCCTGTGAGGCAGATAAGGTCTTTGGTGAGCCAAGAGAGCCCTGACTCGACATGACTTTGCTCAAATTTGTGGTGGGCTGTCCTTGCGGTCTACAAGCACTGGCCCCTCTTTGCTGAAGCTGCGCGACTTTGCCTGGGGGAGCTCTGCTAGCCGGAGTGTCTGTGTCTTCAAAGAATTCAAAACTGCTGAGATCACCCCATGATGAAGGATCCTGAAACAACGTGGGAGGCACGGAGCTATAAGACAGTGTATAGTGCCACCTCATGAAAATACAGCGCTAGGATATGTTTGTAACCAACAACAACAACATTATGTCTTTCCCAGTTCAATTCAGCCTGACCCTGTTCATGGGAGCAGCAACACAGTGAACACAATTTGTGTTTTCACATACCTTGATCTTATCAAACTGTCTGACATCCTAGTAGTGTTGCTGGCAACCGAGTCCCTAAGGAATGAGTCAAATTATGTCCTTACTATTTGCTTGCCCAGTGTTTTCTGCTTGGTATGATGATGGCGCCTTTTGTTACAAAAAAAAAAGTGTGCTGTAGACCAAGACTGGCCTCCTCCTAACATGCAATGCTGCTCTGGATGTGCTGAAAGGGAAATGACACCGAACGAAGCAGACACCTCCGAAGGAGGTTGCCACCAACAAACATAACTCAATGTGCTACTTTGCATGCAGCATCCCAGAGACTGCAATAACAGGTCCACGTCAATGTCAGTCAGATACTTGACATTTAAATGTGTGTTTGCAGTCCTTCACATATGCCAGGACAAGTCCCTTAAACTTTGAAAAGCAGCTATTGAGGCTACAACTAAAAATTGTAGAAAATGATGCAGATACATGATACATACAGACCCAAACCTATGGCACGTCAAATATCAGTAAATATCATCACACTGTTTAAAATTTTTCATGGTATCTCTGATTGTATTTTAAGGAGACTTAAAATTGAGAGATTGTTTCAAGCTCCTACTGTGCACCTTGCTGAAACTCACACTCCCATTCCAAGATGTAGCAGGAAAGGGAGACACCCCAAAAAAAGCATATGCATCCATGTTTGAGGGCTTCATTTACAAGCAGCTGCATTTTGTCATGTCAGAAGATAAGCTTCAGATCCTGGAGCAACTCGAAGTTACTCGGGAAAAAATCAACAACCGCATTTAGGACAATCCCAGCTCCTCACCCCTTACTCCTTGACCATGCACAAATCCACCTGAGGCAGCGAGTTTACTTACGGAGTCTATTAACTGGAGTGTTTCAGCAAATTCTAAGAGATTCTTAACATTATCCAGGATGTTGCTCTGGTGAACAATCATGCACCGTGCAGGGGATGCACTTTCCTCAGGTAAGCAACCGTGATCCACCGGTGGAGATGGAGTACAGTGGTGATGCTCCCCCAAACAGGAAACAGGTGCACTGTCACCACTGGTCCTGGTACTGTCAGCAATTGTGGTGCTGTGCCAGCCGGGGTAGTTTGATGTGTGGTTCTGTGTCTAAAGGAAGAAGAAGGCAAAAAAAAGAAGAAAAGGGAGGGGGGAAAGGCAGAAGGAACTTAGCAATGAAATTGCACAAGGTGTCAGATGCCACTGGAGGAAAGATAAAAGTAGTTGCATCATCATCTAAAAGCTTATGCCTATGAAACAATTGTCAAGATGTTTCCTTTCATCAGTGCAAGATCTTGTTTTAAGTAATACTGGCATTGTATTTGTTATCCCAAAGTTACCTCATAATTTACTTCCACTATTTTAGGCGTATGTCATTACTAGCACATAATCAATTAATACTTTGTTACTCCAAAAAGTGTCTGCAAGTCCTTTTCTGTAAGAAGCAAGAAACGGCAGGATTTCCCTACAGAGCGCTCAGCACTGTAGAAGGCTAAAAGTTTTTAGAGTTAGAGTTGCTTTTGTCTGCTTATCTCCTTTTCTTCTGCTATCCCTGTCTAATGCTACAGCTTACACCAATGCAATGAAGAGGCTGTCAAATCAACGTGGTTAGGAAAGCAGAAGAACAAATTAACAGAAGTTTCTTTCCAGTGTGATCATGCAACAGAAGAAATTGCAAAACATTAACTAAAGTTAAAAAGTGGCCAAACTAACGTATCATGCATGCAGTTCTTTTACTATTCATTTAAATATTACCCAAAAAAAAAAAAAAAGAATCTGCTGGCTATCACCTATCTTCAAAAATAAATTATTTTGGGATTCTTGGCTTTGGTGACGGTGTTAAGTAGTTACACAAGGGTTTTCACGCATTAACAACCAATGGCATATACCACAAAGTATGAGAATTCAGTAATAGCCAGCACTTGCTCGACACATGCAGTTATGAAGAATCTAACATTATTCAGAGGAGTAAAACAAATTCTCAAACATGCACCAAGTCTGAAGCTTACGAAGTGTATAAAACACAGCTGAAGGAAAGAATACAACAGAGAAGAAAAATCTAATGCACAGGCACTACATTTTCATCACATGAACCATTGCACACTTTCAGAAACACAGATCCCATTACTGATTAAAGGCCTGTAGGATTTTCAATTTTTGTACAATCATCATGTTTCCAGTATTACATCATGTTACGGAGCCCAGTCCTGCTCCCACTTCGCAAAGTAAGATACCTGCAAAATTTTTGGGGGTTTTTTTGTTTTTTTTTTTATAAAAGAATTTACAAAGCAGATACAGATTACATATGTGCTATGTTTCATCCTTTTAAAACGGAAATATAGAGCCTTGATTAGTACTGAAGGCAGAGGGGGAGTAAAAAGTTAAAAAGACAAGCACTGGGGTAAGGCTGCTATCCCTCCATCCAAGCACACAGTGACAATCTTACTGGTAATGCCTGCTGCCCTTTCAGTTCATTCTCAGTCGACATTAGTAGCAACTCTAATTCCTTTATTCGTTTTTCTTTCTCAGGGTCTTCATCATTATAGTGTCTCTGAAATTAAGAGTTAAGGGAAAAGAAAAGATAAAGGTCTGATAGGATGTAGCAACTAAAATGCTCATGGTTTGCTGACCTGTGGTTATAACAGCCAAATTAGATTCCAAGATGAAACAAATGTCAATTGTGTTTTCCACCATCAAAGTCTCTGCTGAATTTCAGTATAGACATTTGAAACGGAGAAAGTGAAGGCCATCACACCCGATGTCAACTACTGCATTTAAAATCCACTTCAGAAGGAGCAATTATTAGCCATGTCAGAACTCCCCGACCTTCCCCATTTTCTCTTTTCACCACACTTAATACATTGAAATGTTTCCTTAATGTACAATGTCTGCATTTTAGTTTATCAAATATTTAAGAAATTGACTCTTGAAATAAGGTTCAAGTTATCTACCTGGATAGCTGCAGCAGCTGGCTGAGGTACATTGACAATATTTACATGCAGTGCTACTGGATACGGGATCTGACCAGGAACCTAGGTCAAAAAGCAAAAATTGGTTATTTCCATCATATTATCTGCTTGCATTGTCAATTTGTGTTAAACATACTTTGGTGTTAGGTACTTAATATTTGTAGTCTGTGGAGATGAAATAACAAAAAAAAAAATGTTCACAAGAAAAGTAATCACGTTTTTAGGAATATGACAGTAAGCACTAGAGAGGAAGAAAGACAATTCATTTATGAAATATTTACCCTTCCTGAATGAGAAAAGATGAATAATTTATAGACACATTTGTAAGGATTTTCTAAATTGAAGTGAAAAAGCAAAAGATGCAATTTATTATCATTTAAAACTCTACAATGCAACTATCTGAAGCAGGAGCCTGTTTCATTATTAATCATTAATAGAAAAGAAATCTGATTAAAATCAATACTTGTTCACTTGGTTCTGACAGGCAACCCACAAACAGAATATTACTAAAGAGCATGTGGGAGATTTTGACATGGAACACAGAATTAACCAGATTCAACTGATATTCAAGAAATGTAATATTCACAACTCTAAGAAATATGGTAACTGCTCCCAAGGCGTTAAACCTGCTCTACCCAGTTCCACCACCTGAATGCCAGCACCTTGAAATGTACTCATTTTCACCACTGAACCAAGTAAAAGTCAAAGAAATCCTCATCTGACATCAACACATCCAAGTCCGCCAAGACGAAGGAAATCCTTCAAGCTGAAACCAGGCACGGCTAAACTGCCCCCATCTATTCAAGGAGGCAAGGCACGCCCTGCACGCTGCCCCTTTCAGGCACTCACGTTCTGTGGCTCAGGGATGTGGTAGTAGGGGTAGTCACTGCCCAGCGGGGGCTGGCTGGCCACCGGCAGCTGCGCGGGTGGCGACGGGTTGTGAGCAAAGGCCATCAGGTGGTTGTTCTTCTGAAAGCCGGCAGCTGCTGAGGAGTGGCAGGCTTTGGAGGACTCCTGCAGGTAGCCCTCCTGCTCAACCTTCCGGCGCATGGTGGAGTTCCAGTGGTTCTTGATAGCATTATCAGTTCTGCAACAGAAATACAGACATTCGAGGAGTTTCAAATATGAGCAGTTCCAATTCAGACAGGTCAATGGGCAGGGAACTGCTGTTGGCATTTCTGTTTAAACCCTGAGCTCTTCTCTGACCTTCCCCCTACGCCCAACACTACAGATGCTATTCTCAACTTCTCAGGAAAGATGCTCAGTATAAAGGTCAGGAAAAAAGAAAAATGGGCTACAGTTGTTTACATCCTCAAATTGTAAGAAATTACTAATTTCATCTTCACCTCATTGCCATGAAGTGAGGAGACAACGAAGGCTAACATCCCTTTGAGGCTATCCTAAAGGAATGCCAACATCATCTTCCTATATCTTTCAGTGGAGTCTTATTGTGTCTCATTGTTGCAAAGAAAGACTGTGGAGAACAGCTGTGAAGAGACTAACTTCCAAACAATTTTCCAGCTGGTCACCTAGACAGCAACAACATGCTGTACACACAAACTCAGTAAACAAAACTGTTGGGATTTTTCTTAGATGCAGAAAAACTGAGATTCAAATCCTCACGTATATGAGTCAGGAAAAGCAAACTTATCAACTTTGTGAGATTTTTAAGAGTACACTTTAAAACAGCTCTGCTATTTGAAAAACATCACTACTGCATGTTATGATTCAAAGCAGTATCTGTGATGTGTGGAAGCCACAAAAATATTTCCAAGGGGTAATTTCTTTCTTGTTGTCTTCTAGAAGGTGAAAGCAGCCCAGGGAATGATTGCTTAAAGGGCTATCATGATCTTAGGCCTTATATTTAAGTCTTGAAGGTGTTTTATCAGATAGCAGAGAGAAAAGTAGGAAGGGAAACCTCTCCCTTGCTTACATTATTTGCTTGCCCACATTTTGAGTCATTTTTAATCAAGCAAGTAAGACACTGAATCTTTGAGTTTATATACAAGCTGTACAAAAGCTTTCAGTGGGACAAGTGTTTCCAGGACCAGAGTTTTAGGAAAAAGTTTTACACATGGTTTTTTAACAGGTCAAAATCATCTGGATGATTCAAGACCAATTACAAAAGTTGAAGAAGTCTTCTCTTAAATAATTTTGAATAAACAGACTGGATTTCATGTTGAAGGCATACCCTTAGCTGAATGCAAATTATGTTCCTTTTGCAGAGCCTGATCCTTCCCTGTTAAATCTATTTAAATTTTGACAGTCATCACAGGCACAAATAAGACTGCACAGGCATTTAGGAAACTCTTATGGTCTTGCTCCAGTTACTGGCTTTTTTACTTGTGGCAAGCATTCAAAGCCTGTAAAAATAGCACACTGCTGTGTGTAATGACCAAACAGTGAAGCTCCCCACTGAGAAAAATGCACATTGGTGTCACTGGCTTCCCAGGTTTTGATTCCAAAACTTTTTCAATTCATACAGTGCAGCTTGAGGCAACCAAAACAGACTGCTCAGACCTGCAGCTTTTTCCTTTTTTGAGAGCTAAAAGCATATGTCATTACCGTCCAGGCAGCAACTTTGCAATCTCTGCCCATCTGTTTCCCAGCCTCTTGTGTGCCTGGTAAATAATTCTATCTTCCTCTTCTGTCCAGGAGGTTTTCTTCACTTCTGGATTCAAGTGGTTGTGCCACCTCTCCCTGCACTGTTTTCCAATCCTTCCTTTCAAATGCTTAGCAATGACAGACCAGCGCTTTGGACCGTATTTCTGCACGAGCTCTATTACCTTCAAAGAATGACATAAAAACTGCCTGTATTTAATGATGCATGATGAATCAATGACATTTTTTTCTGTGGTGAAGCAATATTTTTGACAACATTTCTCAAAACTGCCAAAGTAAAACTAATAGCAATTAAGGTTCCCCACTTCCCATTCATATTTTTACCCAAAAGGAAAAATCTGGTAATAGTTAAGGCATTTCTAGACTGCAATTCCACATTACAGTGCTGTAAAGCAACAGTAATTTATTTGCACAGCAAGCTCAGAAAGCACTACACAAATACAATCTGCCTCTGGCCATAATAATGTTGAGACCACCAAAGTTTCTAGGAGTTTTTCCCCAACACTTGAGAAAATCTGCTTGCAAAGCATTAATCAGACAGAAAGAAAACTGATTACCTACCCTTTGATCCTCCTCTTTAGTCCACGGACCTTTAATAAGTTCTGGGTTTAGTACCTTCTGCCATCGGTGCTGGCACTGCACATCTGTCCGATTCTAGTGAAATGTGAAATACACAAAGCAGATAATTCTTTAGAAAAGGTGAAAGTAGAGTAAGAATTCTCTTATTTACATACACTTGTTTTGATGGATTTCACTACTAAGACTACTAAACAACACAGAGTGATACAGTAAGTCTGAGAAGAAGGTGGTCAACTCTCAATTTGCTCACAGAATAGATAAGGCTTTCATCACTTCTGCATTGAGGACTCTATAACCAAAATTACACAAATTTTATCTTCCCCGTCTGCACAATAGCTGGCATGCTTTCACATGCTTTCACAGCAACAGCCAAACACAAAGCAATTTTCTTCAAAATCATACTTACAGTTCACCAAAGTTGCTTTTTTTTTTGCTGTGCTGAGACATTTTGTTTCATTGTCACATTGACCATCTACTGTACAAGTCCCCACCATCCCCCATTTTTGCTTGTTTGATTTTTTCCAACCCTTTCTGAGAAGTGAAAGGAAAAAATAAATGTAAGGGTTTCCACAGTAATCTAACTGCATTTCTAAAGCCTCCATTTGTGGAAGTTTTATATCTCCCCTGAAAATGTAACTATAAAGCAACCACTCCCCTTCCCCTTTAATCAAGGAAACCCCTTGACAGTTCCTACTAAGCCTGGAAACAGAAACCAATATCCACTTACAGGAAGGAAATTGGCAATGACTTTCCAGTCTTCTGTACCATTCTGCTCCACAAGCTTCTTCAACTTCTCATCCTGAATCATAAACCCCCCCCCAGATATAATTAATATTGCAATCTCTGAAATATTTTTTAGAAGTCATTCTTGTAGCTTCTTATGCATCTCCTTCTGCTTTCTGAGTGTAAGGGAGGGTGGTCTGCAGACTTTGCATGCTTTTAATTCCTAAAGCATAAGATTTTTCCACTCCTTTGGCTTTTGGTAGGTTCTTTACTGTGTTGCAGGAGAAAGAGTGTACAGTTCTTTGACTCACAATATTCATCCCATTTTTACTCATCAAAGCACTGTAACTGTTATTCTTGGACTGGATTTGCAGGAGGAAATGGGTGTTTAGATGCCAAGCATCAGAGTAACCTTGAAATTCAGCAACACTCAGGCACTCAGCTACCTGGGGACCTCTGATAATCACAGCTTTAAGCTTTTTATGTCTTGCAAGTAATGGGAGTTCCAGTGACTTGCTCATGGCCTATCCACCTACAATAAATGCACAATAAAACTAACAGCTCCTTTTTGCTCCTGTTCTCTGCGAGGGAGTTTTGCATACTTGTAAATACCAAAAAAATTGGCCCAATCTTTTTAATGATAAGGCCAGAAATATAAACCCTAAAGACAAAAGAAACCAACCTTATGTACTGGGAAAGATCGAGATAGAGTAAAACAATCCAAAAATACCCCAAGAGATAAGAGGAGAAGAGTATCCCTCTCCTTCCCCAGTTACACCTCCCAGTATGCTCCCAGTTCATGTGACAGGACAATGGCCATTGGACCTTATGGCCATCCTTTCCTCCCTGACCACATCAGAACCACATCCACCTTTGTAAGGGCAGACTATGATTTAAAATAAATAAATAAAAAGCTTGCAAGGGGTGACCTGCCACTGTTTTTACATCAATACACATTGCTAGAGAAGAGAAAGTCAAAACATAACTCAAAAAGTGTATTAATGTATTCCACAACAAACTCAAACCAGTTAAATGACCAAAGGAGATCCACCTGGCAAAGAAGTCTGATACCACAATTTTCCCAGAAAGTCAGCACAAGGGTATCACAACTAATTCTGACCTTGAAAAGCAAAATGCATCCTGAAGGCTCAGTTTTGGTACTGCTGGATTTCTCTCCTCCAGCTTTTACTTTACTTCCACTTGGAATGATAACAGTGCAATCAAAGTGCAAAATTCCAGCGGTACAGAAGGACTGCAGCAGTTTTGGCCACAGTGGTTTGCTGCTGTGGGACACTGAACACACATGGGTTTCTCGCATAGCAACAGTTTCCAAACAGAAAGAGGAAAGTAGCAACAATGAAGCACTGCTACAGGTGATTTGGAATCTGCTTCTCCAACAGGGATTACACAGAGATTCACACATCACATACTTTAATGCAGAGCATGGCAGAAATTAAAAAGTTGTGTTTATATATTTCATTTAGAAGGTAAGAACTATGCTCAAATAAAACACGGGATGTAGCTAGTGGGTCAAAAATGTTGTCCTGAGATATGGGACTGTCACTGAAGTAAATTTGCAGATTAGCAATATGGTGAAGAACATGAAGTAACTTAGAGAAGAATGCGATCATGCTCTCTCTTATCTTTTTACATGCAAGAGAGGAATTAACTTGGATTTACCTCCTCACGGGTCCACCTGGTTTTTCCTAAGTGACGTTTTCCAGTCTTAGGAAGCAGACCATCATAGTCGTGATCATACACCTCAACATCTTCTTCATCATCATCACTACTATATATACTGCAAAAGCAAACACAGCAAGACAGAGTGGAGCATGAGGACTTGAGCTACTTAATTCAAAACACAAAAAAAACCCCACTACAATCCTTACAAAGGTTACACAGATAAAAGTTTTAAAACTTGCACAACAAGATTTTGTTCTGCATTCTGTTGTTCTAGTATTCTGAACTGGTTCTGCTGTTTTTGGTATCCACAGATACAGGCAAAGGGCTGGCAACCTTCGTATTACTGTGCATGTTTAGACCTGCTCCTAATGTTAGATCAGTGGTGAATTACACATTTGGCAAACTTTCAACCAATGAAGGTTTCAAATTAAAATACAATGTTTGGGACAATAAAGACGACTAGAGGCTGTGTCCAGTACACGAGTACATGTTTAAGATCTTTAACTCATGCCATACATTCTGAAAATATTAGTGGTTTTTGTATGTTTAATACAGCAGATTGTTATACTGCTCCAAAATAAAACCGACTGTGTAGCAAAACAAAAAGCTAAACAATAACCTTGTTTGAGAAACTGTTTATGGACCCTATATGAGAAGGCACAAGTTTTTACAATAAGTAAAGACAGTAAGTGGCAGCATTAACATGCAATAAGCTCTTATATAAAATATGCCCTCCATTTATGGGTTTGGACAGATAAGGACTGAGGACAAGTTTGTTTAATCCTGCAACCAACAAATGAACGACTGAATCCTTCTATAACTTTATTACCTCTAATCTATTTCTAAATCCCTCATACTGTTTTTGAAATACTCTGCTCACCTAATTCATGACTAAGGGATTTCCCCAGAGGCTATCTATGGGTAAAAAGGACTCCATGACTCTTTTCACAAAAGCACTTTCTCTACCTAGCTAATTAAATCTAAAAGAGAGTGTTTTGCAACAAGACATGGCTTTCTGGTGGACAGTATTTTACTTCTAACTTTTAAGGTATGAGCAGCAGTTCTGATACTTCAGCTAAGAGATGCTAGCCACAAGTGTCAGAAAGGAGTCAGTGTCATTAAGATTAAAAACTGTGATATATCTGATGGTATGGCATGCTGTGGTATGTTAAAACTATGACTAAGACATTAAAATAAAGTTATTTTGTAATAAAATTAACAGGCGCTGTTTATGCTGTTAACCTGTTTTCAGGAGATCACTTTCAAATAAGTTGCAGTGAAGCACGGTGACTCTTTGTCAAGATGCAAACACCTCCGAAAGGCAAGCTGCTGAACATACATTCTTTAAAAGTACTGGGCTAATCACACCCTACATCTTCCAGCCTGTTTTCTGGCCTGTGTCATGAAAGAACATGCTTACATGCTACATGTAAAAAGTTTTCGACAGCCTGCTGTGATGTGTGTGGTCATCCTGCAGCCTGTGCCGGGTGCCCCTGACTCACCCATCGCTGCCACCCCCAACTGGCGCCCACCGAGCCGCAGACCTGCAGCGCCACGATTCACTCCCTATTCCCCAGACCCCGTAACCACTGGGAGCAAGCCCCGATGGAAGCTGCCACTCCGCACGCACCCCTCGCTGGCAGCTGGAGCCGCCCGTGCTTGAGCAAAAGCTCCCACGCTCCAGCTGCCACAAGCGCAGCCGTCCCCAGCCGCCGCTCAAAGCAGATTCACTTTTCTCAGTGACACACAGAGACAGCTGCGCCGCTGCCCATATGCCAAAGGAAGTTTTGTGGCACAGTTTCCAAGTATCATTTTGAAAATGAGTTTTCTGTAGACGGCAACCAGCAGGTACGCATCCATCCGCCGTGCTTCCTGCGCCGCAGGGAAACGCCGCTCTGCAAGCAGCAGCAGCAGCAGCAGCACAGCATCAGCGGCCAACACGTTTAAGGACTTCAGTGCGGGGCCAGTTCTGTAACAGGGTTATTTAAATGACTGGGGCCTCGCTGGCACCGCAGAACCGAGCAAACTCCACTGTACTACCTGCGTTCTCCAGCAGGAGAAAAGTGCCCGGGGATTCCGGGACCCTTGGTAGTTTCTTCAGTCAACCTGGCCTTCAGCAGTGCTATAAACTTTATTTTGCACCTCCGGCCGCAGACCCGAAGCCTCCCCCCCAGCGGCTCGGCTCGGCACGGCACGGCACGGCGCTCCGTCCGTCCGGGACTGCGGCAGTCCCAATGCCGCCCATCAGCGCTGCGCTCTTCGCCGAAGCAACCGGCTTGTGCAACGATACACGGGGAAAAAAGCGAAAAAAAAAAAAAGGGGGAAGAAAAAAAAAAAAAAAAAAAGAGGAGGTGTAGAGGAAATGACTCGCTGCTGTTACCGTGATTGAAGGAATTCGGGCACCAGCCCCGCGGGGCAGAGCCAGCGCCCGCTGGATCAGGCGGACACCGCACCGTGCCGCCCCGGCCTCCCGTCCCAGAGCGGCGGACGTGTCCCGGCGGGAGGCGCCCGCGAGGCAGCGGTAGCTGTCCCTCTCTTTCGGGAGGGACGGGCGGGGTGATTCACCGCCAGCTCTAGCGACAGCCCCGCTCTGACACTGAAAGTACAGCCCGGCGCTCGCCCAGCTGCTCGCCGCCTCCTCCCGCACCGCAAGCCTCACTTCCTTAGAAAAAGCCCACCAAGCCCCCAGTCCCATCGGACGCGGCAGGCGCCCGGGAAGCGACAGTCAGGGCTGCGACCTTCTCCCCTGTCACAGCCAGCCAAAGGGGTGGGGAGGAGGGGAGGATGCCGGGCTGCAAAGAGAAAAAAGCTTCCACGTGTCCGACCCGCCGTCCCCGGCTAATTAGACAACAACCCCGCTCTGTGCGCCCGCGCGGCAGCGGGGCCACGGACGCGGCCACGCGGCGCTACCGCCCCGTCCGGTCCAGTCCGCCGCCTCCGGGGCATCGCCGCCCCCGGCCCCGGCGCTGCGTGGCGGGATCAGCTGGCCCGGGTGCGCGGCAGGCGGGCGGGCACGGGTGACAGCTCCGGCCGAGCGCTCCGCCGGACCCGCAGCCCCCCGCCCGCGCTGCCGCGCTCCGGCATGTGCCGAGTGGCGTGTACCGGGAAAAAGCTAAGTCACTCAGGCCAGAGTCGCGCTTCCAAGGGCGAAAACGCCGCACGAATAAAGCAAACAAAAAGTCGAGGGAGCGAACCGAGTCCCCGCACCCGCCGCCCACCTGTCGCCTCACCCGGCCGGGAATGAATGAATGAATGGGACGGGACGCGCTACCTGCCGCCGCCGAGCCCGCCAGACATTGTCCCGCCTTGCGGCTGCGGGGCGCGCAGCTCCGTCGGGCTCCACGCTGGTTCCTGCGGGCGGCGAGCACCGGCCCCCCGCCGGCGTGCAGCGCGGGGCCCGAGCGCCCCGGCACCAGCGGCTCCGCGGCGCGTCCCGCTGGGCTGCAGCTCCACCGGCGCCTCCGGAGGAGGGGAGCGCCTCGGCACCGGAGGCGGAGTACACCAGGTGCACGGAGGACGGGGGTCTGCCCGCCCGTCCGCCGGGCGAGCCGGTTGCCTGCTGCCGCTTTCCCCCTCTCCCGTCCCGCGCCCCGTGTGACAGGCGCGGAGCGCAGCCGGCCGTCCCCCGTCCGCAGACAGCGGGTTACCTGTGCCGGGGTCTCCGGGACATCCTCGCACCGGCCGCTGGGGGAGGAGGACGGGGGAGACCGAGCCGGCGCCCGCCGCCGCGCCCTGCTGCCGGGCTGCGCCTGGGCGCTCCGCCGCCGCGCACGGGAGTGCCGAGGAGCCGCGGGAGGAGGAGGAGGAAACAGGTTGAGATTAAAGAGTAAACTCTGTAAACAGAGATGCCATCAAACAAAGGGCCCTTGGACACTCCCCCTCCCGCCAAATCTGGCGCCCCTGCAGTGCGCAGGCGCCTGGCGGGCCCGTGCCGCGGCGGCGGGGCGCGGGGCGGGCGGACCGGGGCCGCGCGCCCCACGGGAGCGCCGCCGCCGCTCCCGCGCCGCGGGGCCTCGACGGCGCGCCCGCAGCCCCCCCCTGCCCGCGCCCTGCGGCTGCCGCTGCTGGAGCTGTCGGGACGGGGACAGCCCCTCTCCCCCGTGCACGGCGGGTGGGGAAGGCGAGTCTCGCCGTGAGGGGAGAACTCTCGGGCGAGACCCCGCGACCACCCCCGGCCCACGCAGGTGTCTCCCGCCGACGGGGGGAGGGTGGGCCTTGGCGGGTGCACCTGCTCCGCTCCCTGCGTGGCGTGCGGGCTGCGGCGGCTGCAGCCCTCGGGGGCAAACAACCCCCGCTGGCAATGGAAAGGGAACTCGGAGGGGCCCGGGGCTGCCCGGGACTTGACTGTGGTTGCCTGGCCGCGGGGGATTTCTGCTATAGTTCCCCTTGCTGCTGCCCGGCGTGGATGCTGCCTGCCGCCGCCGCGGCGGGAGGGGCGCCGGGTGTCCGATGAGCTCCAGAGAACACGTTTTTTGATACAGAAATGAGTCAGGATGTGAAAAATGGCGAAACATGCAAAGTTCCCAGGCTGCGCTGCTGCTTGAAAAATCATGGCTTTGCAGCGGTTTCGGCGCACTCGCCTTTCCTCAAAGGCCCGCGGCTCATCAATGAGCTGCCGACGGGGCGGACCGGGGCGGGGCCGCTCCCGGGCCCGCGGCGCCGCTGCCGGAGGGCGGCAGGGGGCTGCGAGGCGGGGCGGGCCCGGCTGAAGGCGGGCCCGGCCGTGTGCCGGGCACAGCCCGCGGGCAGCCCGCACCGCCCCTCCCGCGTAACGCGAGCCACCGGCCCGGGCAGCGGGGCATGGACACGCAGCCCGGAGTGTTCCCCGAGCGGACGCATCCCTTGTCGGGGTCACCTCGTGCTGAATTAGCCGGAGGGTGCGCGTCGTTGCTGTTTTGCCCTACCCAGGCCTCCGGTAGGAGGTGCCGTGCCTGCAGGCCTCTGTTTGCCTACCTGTGAAATGGGTCTGCTGCACAGGGGGCCGGTGGTGGTGCCGAGTGAAGGGGCTTTGTACCGTGCCGTGTCTGCAAAGCATTCCTCTGCGAGGAAGTGTGTGTGGGGGGGTTAACACTGATCTGGAAACTTGAAGACTAATTCAGCTCTGTTCTACGCTTTTCTGTAAAATGCATTTTGGCATCAGCTGAGAACAAGGTTACTCATATCCACTGGATTTTTAAGTTGTTTTGTAGTTTGGGGGTTTTTTTTCCCCAGTAAATATGTCTTTGGGCAACGAAGGAAATCAGGAGGCCAGAGAAAATACAGAAAGATGTCTTAGTGTCCACAGTGTTGCCAGGTGTTTGGGATATTACTGTTGCAAAATCAAAGCTGATAAGAAGCCATAGGAGTGTAAATTCTGTATGTGTCAAATGTTCCTGAGCCCTTTACCAAAACTTATTTAGAAGTAAGTGTTTTCTGAGTACTGCTCCAACAGTGGAGGTTGCTTACGTACACAGAAGGCCCAGAGCTGGGCCTGTCACCAGTGCAGCTGTGAGGATATGACGGAATTCACTGGATCTACTGTTAAGGATATGTGCTACTTCTCTGTGACTGAAAATGAATGTTTCACTGAAGTGGTGTGGTCATTTTGCCTACTGTATCCCAGAGAGGTACAAACAAAACTGGGCAAGGCTATCTCTTCCTTCTTCTGCAGGAAACACTTTCCCTTATTGATTTTTGCAAATATTTCAGTGTTAACTGAGATAAATCCAACATCTTCCCGATTTGGATGTAAATTTGCTGAATAAATGCAAAGAATGTCTATTATTGCTCTCAAGAGAGTTGTTAATATGCACAATTTTCTTCTGACAGTTTTTTTGCAAGACTACATTTCTTTTCCAGTGACTCTGAAGAAACACATTTTTTTTCTCTGAAGAAAAACATTTTTTCATCCCAGATTGAAAAAAAGAATCCACTACATTTGGTTTATAAGATTACATAAAATTGCAAATAAAACACATCTTACTGTGTTTAAAACAGAGAGGGAAATGATGCCTCTGCTCCAGGTTTAAGGTCAATCTTCCACAACTCATTCTGCATCTATAAACCCCACTAAAATCAGTAAGGTGTGTGCATGCACTCCACCAATGTTGCTTCATTCTTAATGTTTAAAATTTAGCTAGAAACAAGCCATGACTCTACTATTTTGCTTTATTTGCCAAGCATCTGTAGCTTGTGGGACTTGGATGTGTGATGGTTCTTTATAATATATTTTTGCCAAAGCCCAAAAGAAAAATCACCCTTCTGCATCTCAACTTATATATCATGCCTTAAATGTAAAGTAGCAGACTTCTTCTTACACTACCCTTCCAACTTTATTAATTAGTGATGTCTCTGAGCCTATTTATAGTAATTGCATCAACTGACAGAGTAATTGTAAACAGTGTAACTGCAAGTTCTGGAGGGATTTTTTTCCCTTACATGAATTATATAGATAATTTAATAAAAGTAATTATATAAATGGTAAATACAAGTTAAATTACTTTATTTCCTGCACCTCCGCTACAAACATAAACCTCAAGATGAAGTTTAAAAGCCTGTGAATAAAGTTTCAAGAATCCTGGTTAAACATCAAATCTGTTGATGTCAATCAAATCTACGTTGTCTTCTTCCTTACTGTTTTCCTGTTGCGATCTGCTGTTCAGCTGGCATGGCTTGGGCTTGCCAACATCAGTTAACTAGGCATAACCAAAGAGAAAAGGGATCCTGAAGGAAATTCAGCTGTGAGGAGAGCAGGAAGCCTGAACACCAGGGTTTTCCAAATGTACAGGAGATAGTTGCATACTTTTTTTTTAGACTTTGGAAAATCTCAGAAGCAGTCTCTACCTATGTGTTCCTATTTTTTCTGAGTTTGTCACAGAATCTGCAAGGAATACTGTGAAAACAGTGTCTAACAACTTGTATGATCGCATGTGGTTTTTTTTCCTAAAAAAACCTTTTCCAAAAGCCTTATAAATTGCCACCTTTCCCTCTGGTACAAATATATCTTAGAATTCAAGAAACATTTTTATAAATGTATGCTTATGTGTGCTTTGTTGTTTACTTTCTGCATTTCTTTTAGCCTGTGTATCATAAAACAACAAGGAACTTTCACTTTTTTAGTTTCACTTTTAGACTGTAGTTACGGTAAAGTTTCAAATGCAGTTGTGGTATTTTTATAATTGAACATCAGGTGATTTTTGGTATTTTGGCCAGAAATGTTTTTAATGAATATTGTTAACACATCTGAAGCAAAATAAAAATGTATGTTTTCCTTTGATGTAGACTTCCTCATAAAAGGAGATAAGAAGATTGATTAAAAGTTATGGGGAAGGAGGCAGGAGACTGGGGCTTAATGCCTCTTTTATCATGTATTGAATTATGTCTCCAACAATGTGCATTAACATTTTTGTTCCAGTAACCTGTTCAGTGTGTGAGGGCCAGGCTGGTGCCTTCCTGAGGGATACCTGCCTCAAAGGTAGCTGGATATGTTAGCACCCAGATTTGCATGTGTGCTGGGACTCCAAGAACAACAAACACTTAGGTGTGAGTGGCAACCACCTCCCCTGCTGAAAATGGACATAGCCTGGTCCTGGGTAAGGCCAAAACCAGATAGTGACAGATGTGGGCCAGCAGGAGATGCAGCTCCCTCCACACCATCATGCTCATGCTTTCTTGCAGCCAGGCAAAAGAAAAAGGAAAGCAAGAGAAAGGGTAGGAAGCTGACTGGAAACTTTTAGCAGCTGGAAACAAGATCTCTCCTAGGGTATGCATCCCTGTGCTTAGAGAGAGAAGGGGTGCTGGGCTGGCTCCTACTCCAGCAATGCAGATGGTGTAGCCTAGATCTTTTAAGTCTGTACTTCTGGTTTCTGCACATGCAGGTTTGGAGTAACCACTGTTACCCTGATTCTAGCACAGCACCTACACAGAAAACCCACTGTGTTCTGGTATACAACAGAAATGAGGTAGAAAGGGTTCAGACTTACCAGTTGATTGCATTATATCTTTTTCTTTATTTATTTTGAAAGTATAGTTGACCTTAGGTCAGGTAGCAATAAGAATTCAATGATAAGGTGAAACTGAATCAATTGAAATTTTATAGAACTTGATAAAATTAGGATCTTGATTGAGGGAGCAAAGGTAAACCTTACACTCATCAGCAGAGGCTCTTTTTTGTGGTAAACCCTCTTTGTTTGTGTATGGCTTGAAAGGATAGTAATGCCTGAGGCCTTCCAACTGCAAAAATAGCTTACTATAGGAACTGAACATATGTTGTACAAAAGCTGGTTTTTCATTTGTTCTGAAACAGCACGGTACAGTAGGTGCAAATGGAGGTTTGGGGGAATGACACCAGATCTCTGGACACCAACAGAACCCCATGTCCAGTTGGCTGCCCAAGCACCGTGGGCTCAGTGGTGTTCCAAGAGCAGGACCTCCTCTGAAAACTAGCCGGTCCATGTAATGCCTTTCCATGTAATTCCTCATCATCACACAGAGCAATCTAATTTCTTTTTAAAACACAGTACTAACAATAAGAAGCATTCATTGCACATATTGCAGCTCCATCTTTTTAACCTGCAGCGGAGCACTGACATTCAAAGTAATAAGAAAATTTGCTGTATGGTGGGGCATTGACATTGTATGTTACCAGAATACCTGGAGCAATACAGCCTTTCCGACTACTTTCATCACACATGAGACTATGTGATTTATTGACTTTATTTCATTGC